GGCCACCACGGCCTGAATAAGCATCCAATAAATTAATTAAAAATACTACACTTGTTTACTGTCGCATACACACATCCACTTTCTTCACGTTAAATAACTACAGATTCATTGCTCTATTTGCTCCGCTTTGAAACTTTTAGCCCAGCTCTATGACGCGAATCTCTACAAAGTAGTCGGATCTACATTTCAAACACTAAAAATGAAAACCGGTTACATTAGCTACCATTACAAAATGTCACAGGCTACACGTCTAAGATCAATTTTACTTTCTAATGCTTTTCTAGACGTTCACGAGGCATCTAACTGCACGTGAATAATGCAAAAAGAGTGCACCTTAATGTCACGAATTTACCGAATAAAAATGCAAAAAACTCCTTTCCTAGAACTAAGACACACGGATGCCACAGAAATATATATAATATAGAGTTATGGCGCTGAAGGAAGACAAACGCTTATCAATACAACAACTCGAATGTGTGTTCGCTTAAGAAGAACTGCGCTCTTTTTTTTAGGTTTTACGCTACCGACAGACGAAGAAAGTTACAACGTAAAGCAGCGATCTTTGATAGAGTTTGGTTGGTGCGTTGACATTCGAGCTCAGTTCTTGTTGCAACAGAATTTTGTGATATCAGGAAACGGGCTCAAGTACGTAGTAACAATTTATTAGCTTGAATTCAGCTACGTAAGAAGAGGTAAATGCTGAGACCTTACCAGTTATGAAGCACACGCCTCAGCGGGCTTGCGCCTGACTACAAGTTGACAAAGCTCTATGCACGATTACATTTTAGAAAACATTTTATGGAAGGTGTTCGTGTGGCTTGAGTAGAAAGAGCGAGAACGGCCACCCGTTTACACATAAGATGTGGACATAGCAGCCGCCATCAATGTTGAAGAGCATGTCTAATATAAGCCTACTAAATACATTTTAGTTACAAAAAAACCTTCTTCTGCGTATGCCCTATACTTACAGGGGAACGGTCGGCGCACTCTAAATCATTAAAGCCAAGCAGTACGCTTAGAGCATTTCTGCATGCAAGGCCGGTTGCTTTGGCGTAAGTTTGGTCGTTATTAAGTATAATTTCGGATGATTAAAACATGTCTCTTGTAATCCCAGTTTATTTAATCACAAGCCTCCAGCGTGGGTAGGGCATTCCTACCTTCACAATCATGCTTCTTGAGAGACGTCGTGATTCAAGTCCATGTTTTATGTCACGTACATCACATGACAATTCACACCATCAGCCGCACAGGGTCTTCCTTTATACAACCCGGTGCGCCGAATCACGTGATCGCTGTCATAGGCCCCAGGGTATGCTGTGCATCGACCTGGCGATGATTGAGACATGCGCACAGTACGAATCAGGGAATGTGCGGACTATGTAGGCCTATTAGCTCACCGAAGTTGTTCCATATATAATCTATATATATATCAGAAATGCGTAATAACAAACACTACAACAAACAAAGACCATTTTTATTTTACTTATAATAATGGCGTATTAGCGTTAAAATATTAATAGGTCGTGTCTTTGATCACGAAGACTTGTTAAACACAGAGAACTGATTCACGAACTCTATCAAAACTTTATTTATTTGTCGCTAGATATCTCTCGCTCCTCTCGGTTGTTTTTTTCGAAACTTCAGCCACTACACCCAGTTGCCAACTTTAGCGGTATGCCCGCCACCTAGTTCTTTCGACTGCTAACACACACACAACATAGAAGAGGCACTCACGGGAGGTGTGCACTACTCCGTCGCCTAGCCGCGAGCCATATTACACATGTATGTGCTCGCCGGCTGGCGGTGCTGACTGACTTCCGCCTTGCCTACTCTGCCTGTTCAGGGCAGATATCCTCAAAATAAGGATTGTAGCCTTAAAACCCTTTTTGGGATAGAGGCCTGCGAACACGTGGTTAAATCATCATTTTTACTGATACTTGCAGGGGAGTTCCACTGGGGTCCATGTTTCCAGGCTTGCGACTTCGTTTGCGTATTGTGCGCGGCCTCTTGATAACTCCAAAAATGACCGCCATGGCCCGCGAAAATGGATTTTCTGACAATATCTGCGTATCCCAGACGTCACGCGTAGAGAATATATTCGTTGGTGGCCTATACCACATTCTTCGATAGGTGAAAACCAATTATCACCACTTGGAGACATGGATGGCAGCCTTATATTTGGATTTTCAATTCGCCAGCCACGTGCAAATTTGTTTATTGAAAACTGGCAGGACTCCAAGACGTTGTAGAACATAAATCTTTGGTGTCCTAACCCCAGCATTTCGGTCGGATAGTGGAGCATAACCCAGTTATGACACTTAGAAAAGCATTAAGATCGGCGGCCATCTTAGATTTCAATAAATGGCCGCAAAAAAATTGGAAATCCTGGTTGTTAATTTTGTTTGAATAACGTAAAATTTCTGAAATATCGTTCTAGGAGGCCATAATTTTGTGGCGCGCCGTTGTTCTTCTTACCCACATTCTTTTCATGACGAGCGCCGCACGGTTAGGTTGCTGCACCTACTCCTTGAGATTTCGGACTCCTGTTGCCTCGAGCACCGCAGCAACCAATTTACCCACGAGTAACATGCCGTGGACGTCTGCGGGCCAACGTTGGGCCAACGGCGGCTGTCATTTCAGCGCTCATGTCATAACGTTGCAGCTAACGGTTTGGGCCCAAATCGTTGGCCCCGTACACGGTTGGCCGCCGACGTTATAGCCCTCAAGCCGCTTACTTCATTTATGCAACCGTTGGTCCCAACGTCATATTGCCCAACAGTCTGGATGTGGGCGCCAACGCGTCATATTTGCCAACGTACTGCGCGCCAAACGGTCAGCACAGCCAGACGTTGAGTCCAACGCTCATCCTCCCGTCTTTTCCTCTTGCTCAAGTCCGTGCCAACGTTGGCCTCATCCAAGTTTTAATACTTGGACATACGACACGTTGCCCATACCGCCGTCTTTTTTGCCTTCCGACGCGCGACAGTAGCCGCTGTGCTCAACGCTTTGGGCCTACACACGTCATATTGACAACGTTGGCCGAACCGTCAGACAGCCAACGGCTGGATCCAACGGCTTTTCGTGAGCATGCTCTGTCCTCTGATATCTCTCTTTCTCTCTCTCTCTCTCTTCTCTGTCACACACACCAACATAAAAAACTGACGGTCACCAACCGCTCGTCTCCTGCTCACTCTCTCGCTTTCTTCCACACCACACACCAACACGACACACCACGGACACACTTTAGTTGTCTTTGTAACTCGATTTGCGACGACAACTCGACAGTACCTCATACGTGAAGGAGCAGTGCGCGATCACTAGTGCGATGCATGAAAGTCGTCCGATTCGGAGAATGAGACGGTGCGCATGGAGCGCACATGATTTTCACGCAGCTTCCCTCGAACCTGGGTAACACAAATACGCTTCCTATACCTTGCTGCATCTCTATTAGCTCTACCTGTCTGCCTGTTTTATTTCTATCTCTCCCCCTCTCTCTGTCTGTCTGTCTGGTTTGTCTTGTTATGTCTGTTTTGTCTGTTCTGTCTTTCTTTTGTTTTTTCTATCTCTCTCACTCTCTCTCTCTGATCTGGCGTCGCGAGCGGTGCGTTTCGTGCTCGCGTCCGCCCCAGTGCCGCCCACCATGGTCGGCCAAACACACACACACAAACCACAAAAACCCCGCTACGTGTCAGCACATTCTCTCTCGCTCTCACTGCGCTCGATCGTACGCATGCGCTACTGTGTGCCATACACCCACGCCGCGTCACACCCTCTCTCCCCTCGCTCTCTCGGCTCTCACAGCGTCACCTCACACTGTGTTCGTGTGCGTCCGTGCGTGACTACCGAGTGCTTGTACGTTGCTCAAAACTGCGCTGTCCGTGTGCCCGTGTGCGTGTGTCGTTGTCCAGCGGCTCAAACACCTTCTCAAG